CTGGAGGCTCCAGCTCTTAAAATTTTCATTAACTTAGACGACACGGTTATAGACATACAATAAATGTACAGTCACTATTAAAAATTAATCAACACTACTTGATTTTTCTATCTATGTGTTATTTTACTGAAATAAAAAACTGTTGCCACAATAGATGATTCCATAGTTAAGAATAGAGTGTACATTCGCAAAGTAATAAGTTCTTAACAATATCACGTCAACGTAATTGCGAAGCTACCATAACAGTGTTTATATGTATAGCTTGCGCAAGATTACGGCAGTATGCTCCTCCAATTATAAATTCTCATCTAAATGAATACCAAAAAACTTCAAGCGTGTTGAATAGACCAGATTCGTTTTGCTGCTATTAAGGGCAAGACCGTTAGCAGAACAGTAAGATAGCATTTTGTTACAAACGGAAGCCGTTTGGCTTAAATTTGAGGCATTATTAGAGTTTAGAGTTAATGTCGTAGCATCTGCAAATGATGTGGACTTCGTGTTACAATGATTTAAAAATATATCATTGAAATATAAAATAAAGCAGGGCCTAAGGTTCTGCCCGAGGTACCCCTGAGAGAATTTCAATTGGTTATGAAAATAGAGATCTAGACTCGGTTTTGATCTGAGCGGTTTGAGTTCTTTAATCTAAGATCTAAGACCAATGAAGGGCACAGTCCCGAATTCCGTAACTAAATAACTTGTCTAATAAAATACCGTGATTCACTGTGTCAAAGGCACGGCTAAAATCGACAAATGTCGAGAGAATATATTGCTTACTATCAAGATTTTTTATAATCTAATTATAGACTGGAATTAATGCATCTTGTTTAGTAAGCCCTCGACGGAACCCAAATTGATTGGTGTTGATGATATTCAACTGGTTTATAAATTTAGTGCGACGGGAACAGTACGCATTTTTACATAACTTCGAAAAAGCTGAAAGTAACGATATACCTCGGTAATTAGATCTGTCACCCTTTTTGTGGAACGGTATAACAGTAGCACTCTTTAAGAAGTATGGGAAAAACCTTCCTCGAATACGCATTGAGTAAATGTGTTAAAGGTGAGACGATTAAGTCAGCAACGTTATGCAGGAACGAGCATGGAATGTTGCCTTCTCCATTAGAATGCTTGACAGAAATTTTCTTTATGAATGACAGCTTTTCGTTTTCTCTAACAGGTGATAAAAGTAGAGAGTTTGACGGAGAATTATTGAATGCTTCTGCCAAATCAGATTTAGGAATCATGTGGTCATCTTTAGAGAAAAGTTGCCTTTATTAATAGATACCAGTATGGATGGAGGATGTTCAATTATTATTCATAGGGGGTGCTAATGTTGTTTTAGCGCTTCAGCTGTTAGCAACGGCACAAGAACCAAACGTCGGACTAGCGTTGGGTAAAGTATAAGGTATTCACAGTAAATTTATTTATGTTTTAGAAAACCAATAAAATATCGACTATACAGTATATTCAGATAAGAGATAGACCGGATGTAAATAAAAGGTTCGGGTGATTTTCACGCTAACGCCGCCGTCTCGACGTAAAACAGGAGCCCTCATTGGTCAATTCGCAATTAAATGCCTATGCCGAGCGGCAGAGCAGTCGTATCAAGGCAGAGTCACATTCAGGTTCAGACGTGTTACGTATGTCGTGTGCATCATTGCAATTTGATATTTCTTTGGACGTTTTCGTTTGTTATCTTATTAAGTTGTTGAGTTTGTCGTTGTTATTGTTATACCTTGTTATTGATTGTTATTGTTATCAACTGCTTGCGCAAAATGCCCAGTAGTACAGATACTGCCGATGAAGTTGTAAACTCCTGTAGTCCACCTAGGAAACGCTCTAAAAAAAGACAGCTGAGTGCAGAAATGAAAGAGGTCATTTTGAATATATATAAGATCGAGCGCGAGGAGAACGAGGCATCAACCATCAAAGAAATTGTTGTGAAGGTTTCTCACAAAGTTGGGGTGTGTCGCGCATCAGTGTTTAATGTGTTAAGACAATACAAAAAATCACACCTTTTCTGAGCCAATGACCAGTAAACATCGCAAAAGTATTGTTAAATCATTGGATGAAGCTGATAAGCATGCGATTAGAAGGAAAGTGCATGAATTCTTCTTTAGGAATGAAATACCTACTATAGATAAAGTACTGCAGGAGGTAAATGGAGATACAACGTTGCCAAATTTCAAACGATCAACTTTCCATGCGTTACTGAAGCATTTAAATTTCAAATGGAAAAAACGGGGTCGTAATAGTTTACTACTGGATAGAGAAGAAATTGTGCTAAGGAGGAATGATTATTTAACAAAAATTGGGAAATATAGAAATCAAAACAGGAAGATTTATTACCTTGATGAAACGTGGGTAAACGCAGGACACACTACAAGTAAAGTATGGGTTGATGATTCTGTAACTTCATCCAGGAGGGCCTTTCTAGATGGACTGTCCACCGGATTAAAAAATCCAGCAGGTAAATACGAGTAATAGACAACAATCGGATATTTTTCAAACCTTGGGAACAAGGTTCTAAACATTTCCAGGGGGCAGATAAAACATATTACAAGTAACAAAACTTTTATAACTTTCGATAAAATGCGTGGATGTTTTATTGTCATTTTCATTTGTTAGAACTTTTTTAAGCCATGTTTTTATGTGTTTTCGATATTTCAATAATTTTTTAATATAATCTTAAAATATGTCGAATATTATAAACTTAAAAAAAGTTACTAAGTTTTATATTGTGTACCGTTCCTAATATTTCTAATCATTTTAATTCATACTTTAAGCTTTATAAAGTTATAATTTGTTAATATTAATATTTGCGCGTATTTCAGGTTCCTGATCATTCATTTTTTAAAGGTTTATAACTTTAAATTAAATTGTGAAGCGCTGAGTAATCATACGACGTTCAATATTCTTTCTTTCAATATGACTAAATAATCCCAATTATAGCAATCTGATACTCATGTCTCAATGTTTTTTCGCTGAACGTGATGAAAACATTTGAAAAAGGTTCGCTTATTGAAATAATTCTACACCAGTTAGTACTTCGATTTCCAGGTAAAGGGAAAAGGCTCATTATCTGCCATATTGGCAGTGAGGATGGATTTGTTGTTGACGGTCTGTGGTGCTTTGAGTCTAAGAAAACTGGAGGTTACCACGAGGAAATGAATGGCGAATCGTTTGAACAGTGGTTTTCAAAAATTTTACCGAACTTAGAGGAAAACACAGTAATTGTGTTGGATAATGCGCCTTATCATTCTCGAAGAATGGAGAAGGTCCCAACAACGGCTTCAAGGAAAGTTGATGTTCAAAATTGGCTCCGCTCGAAAAATATCAACTTTGAAGAAGCAATGCTGAAAGTACAATTATTAAGAATTGTCAAGGATCACAAGGCGGAATATCAAAAATACGCCATTGACGAAATGGCAGCAAGTCAAAATAAAACTGTGCTCCGTTTACCTCCATACCATTGCGAGCTCAATCCCATTGAGCTCATATGGGCAGAGGTTAAAAATTATATAGCTAAGCACAATACAACTTTTAAATTTTGTGACCTCAAAGGACTTTTCAAAGAAGCACTAGAATTTTAATAACAGCGCAAAAATGGGAAAACCATATTAAGCACGTGAAAGACAAAGTTGAAAAGAGAATGTGGGAACTGGACAATATTTTAGAGGAACAAGTCGGGCCATTCATTATTGACGTTGGTGCTTCAGGCAGTAGCGATGATGAAAGCTCATCAAGCTCATCTTTCCCATAAAAGATGTCGTTCATCAAATTCGGTAAGTTATAAGTAATTATAAAGCTACTGTATTTTTTAATTAATTATTGACATTTTTGAACCCATTTTGGCAAAACCTATTCAAGAATCTACTTTCTGACAATGTTCAACCATGCACATTTTTTTACGTTTTGAACGTTTTAATTTGGTTACATATTTAGCTAGAAATCAAAAAATATACTAATCAATATTCTAAAAGCAATTTTAAGAGATATACGATTATTTTTAATTTAGGCTAATTTAAACGCCATTTTGAGATTGTATTCGACTGTATTTCACCAAACATCAGGCGGCATCCGAAGCTGGAAATCGAAGCGAAAATTTTGAAACCCTTATGTATATTTACATCATTATATATTTCTTACCCCACCCCCACATGATCCTATATCCATCACCAATCGTATACACATCGAATTGTGCTAATTTACTACAAAGTTACGCAAAGCAGCATCTACTATCTAAAATATGTACTGCGTGACTCTTAATACGTCCCTGCCGAATGTTACACCGTTCGATGATCACATGGTCTTGTTTATGTCCGGTCTATCTCTTATCTGAATATACTTTAGATATCTTATTCGACAAGTTTATGAAAATAACGAATGTTTACTTGATGATTATGCAAGAATTAATCAGTATTCAATATTTTTATTTAATTATTATTGCAGATGTAAATGTGGCGTTCAAACCTTAGGGGCATGTAGCTTTTTGATATGCTCTCCACGAGATTGGGGTTCGTTATCCGTCGAAAAATTTTAGCCAAACATTACAATACCCAAAGCTTTTTTCACATTAGTGTGCTTTTTCTTTTTCTTTCGCTTTCAAAATCAACATGACAGTGAACTGACCTTATAAGTGCCCCTGTGAAGTCAATTGACCTCTTGAGTGTGTGAGTGTCAACGTATCAAAAATTAGCCTGCCCTTAAATTGACCAAGAATAACATGTCACCTCCCAACACCTTCCTGAAAGATTTTCAAGTGAAATATTTTTTCTCCGATTTATTAGGTCTACTAACTAGAGACCGACCGAAGTTTCGGTTTCGGATTCGGTTTCGGCCAAGTTTCGGTCAAAAAACCGGTTTCGGTCGAAGTTCCGGTTTCGGCAGCAAATTGGCCGAAACTTTCGGCTTGGCCGAAACATACGATCGTAAGGTCTCGGGATATGTCCGGTTGTAGTCGGGCGATCGCTTCGTGTCCGTACGCGTTTCATCACGTCACTTGATCTTCGCCGACAAGCTGGTCACGCATTTATTACATTTATTATGTAGTGTGCGTATTAAATAAAGGTAAGTATTTAGTAATTATGTATTCTGGATATACTATATTATAATTATTGATAATTTCTATTTCGAAATAAGAGGGAGAGTAATAAATCATCAGTTTACACCAGGTTCTGCAGTAGGTCACACGCGTAGAATATTACACAATTATCTCAGTAACAGCAAAGAAAAGCTCATAAAACTTTACTGTAATTAATGAATAATTACAATGAAGATCAATAATATTAGTTCAATTTATATTTGATTATCGAGTGAAAACTGAAAATTATCTGTTTCAGATAGAAATGTCTCAAAGAGAAAGAAATCCTATTTGGCAGTTTTTTGAAAAGAGCACAAATGATTTATCTAAGGCAGTTTGCAAAATCTGCAAAAAGTCGCTCTCATTAGGAAGTCAAGAACCCAAAAAACAAACACTATATGGAGTGAAGCAGCATTTAAGTAAGTTCCATGGCACAGAACACAGACAAGTTTTAAAGCGGCAGTCTGAATTAGAGAACATAAAAAATGAACTAAACATTATTGGGAGAATATGTAGGTGTTATCCTAATCAGTGCTGCCAGTGGTGTATCAAGTTTAGGGTAATATATTAACAGGAACATTTTATTCTACCAGAGAAATATTGCTATTATTTATTTATCACCCTGTATATTTTGATTTAGTTAAATGCTATTTGGTTGGAAAGTGTCTTATGAATGGAATTTAAAGTTACTTCAACAGTTCGGGGAAAACTTTCCACCTTGCGAGCGACAAGTGGGAAGAGGTGCCTTTAACGGATGTACGACAGAAAGTCGGCGTCATATACCAAATTAAAACTTTTCACGACTACAATATTTACAATAGTTCCCTCGTCGATTGATGCGCGTAGCAAAATATATACGTCCAACTATTTATATTCTCGTATAACGCATCTACATACATACTCGTATACAATGGTTTTTGAAAAGGTTTTCCTATTCAATTATTTTTTGAGCGCTGTACTGTAATTTATTGACGTTTTCATCCTCTTCCTGTCCCCCTCTCAAGCCTCATGAAATTAACTGAATAGACTTTTTTTATTGAAATAAACTATGACAAAGTTGTTCTCTTCAAGCTGATTCAAATATGTATTACATGAGAAATTACTAAGATTAGTTGGAATCTAGGTTGAATTTTAACTCAGCTTTGCTAAGAGCACTCTATATGCATACATGTACCGGGTATTTCAAATTCGGAAGGCAATAAAATACGCAGTCGTTTATAAAGGCCAAGTCGCGCATTTAGGTAACTGATAAAATGTTACTCAGATAGTTTGGTATTTTGGACAGAGATACAGAAATATGAATTTTCAGTGAACCGTTTTCACCTTCTTCTAGCTTGATTTGAGCTGGGATTTCAATATAAATTGGTCTGTACAAGAAACTATCAGGTATTGATTACTGGTTAGTACGCATCTGTACGACAAATCTTGAAACTTAATTTGAAACCAAATAACCTTAATCAATTGAACTGAAATTTTGTATGCCTTGTTGCTAAGGCTGGAGGAATTCCGCTTCTAGCTTTTGTGGAGGATTGCAGGATATTGTTGTTGTCCGCTGCTTTGATACCCTGGCTTCACGTATTCTACCTGAAGATAGCGAAATTGCCAACCTTATGTTAGATTAAATGAGATATCGTAGGACCATCTATGAGAATCTGTCACAATTTGCTTATAAATGAAGATCCACATTATCCCGCTATATCTGTAACCATAAATCAATTTCATTTTGAAGTGAAAAAATTTGCCAACACTCAGCATAAGCGGTATAACTTCAGAAAAGCTAATTTGCCCACGCTTTATGAGGAACTAGTATCCACAAACTGGGATTTCTTAGATACTGCGATTGATCCTAACCAAGCAGTTGAAACTTTCTACAACAACTTATTTCCAATACTTGACAGACATGTTCCTTCTGCAAAAATATTCAAGCATAAGTATCCTGTATGGTATTCCAGCGAAATGATTGCATTAGTAAAAGAAAAGGCCAAATATCATAAAAGATTCAAGGCTACTAATAACATCGCATATTATCAGGAATTCAATAGCCACATTTAAACAAAAAATGAAGCAGGCTTATTATAACTTACATTCAAACACTTCAAAGCCAGCTTATTAATGAACCTAAATCTTTTTGGTCATTCATGCACAGTAAGAGTAACACATCTAGAATTCCTAGAACAACTCCTGTAATGACCCCGTATCAATAGTCAATGCTTTTGCTGATTTTTTTCAGAGTGTTTACTCTCCACCGGGTGTTCGTGTTATAAGTGATGAGTACAACAATTGTAACAATGATATTCTTATTAATATAACATGCGAGTCAATAAGTGAAAAAGGGATATTAGATGCTGCAAAGAAACTCAAAAACAAATTTACATCAGGGCCAGATCAACTTCCATCGTTTTTCATTAAAGACTGTGTAAAGCTCTTCTCAACTCCTTTGTTGACAATTTTTAATTCAATTCTACGTTCATCGGTTTTTCCTGATAAGTGGAATGTTGCCAAAGTCTGCCCAATATTCAAGTCGCAAGACAGAACCTTAGTAAATAATTACAGGGCGATCACTATACTGAATAATTTTGCAAAGCTCTTTGAAATAATATTGTATTCCAGAATTTACTTGGCAACTAAAGACCATCTATCAGTGCATCAGCATGGTTTTATCAAGCAGAGATCCACTATTACGAATTTGGCCACGTCCGGTCAATATCTATGCGAGACGGTAGACAATAGAGGGCAAGTGGATATCATATACACTGATTTCACAAAAGCGTTTGACAAAATTGACCATCAACTACTTGTACAAAAAATTGAATACATGGGATTCAACAGAACTTATGTGGATCTTGTCAAGTCTTATCTAGACTTGAGAACTCAATATGTACTTATTCTATAATGGATTTAGTTCTTATAAATATATGCCAAGTAGTGGTGTACCTCAGGGTTCTAATTTGGGCCCCCTATTGTTTGCCTTATACGTTAACGATCTTTGCAGCACATTATCATGCAAGAAGCTTATGTTTGCTGATGATCTAAAGCTTTACGCAAGTGTTTCTAGCTGGCAGGATTGTGAAAACCTCCAACAACAACTAGTTTTTTTACAAACATGGTGTGTTGATAACAATTTGTATTTGAACAATTCTAAATGCCGCATTTTGAACTTCACCCGGAAAGCCAAATTTTTAACTTACCCATACAAAATAGATGATGCTGTATTGGAAAGGTGTGAAACTTTCAAGGATTTGGGCGTCTATTTCGATTGTCAGCTCACTTTTAACTACCACATCAGTGAAATTATAAGTAATGCGAATCGCAAATATGGCTTTATCAGAAATTGTAGAAATTTCAATAACACGACGCTTATTAAGTTATTTTCAGTGCTTGTTATAAGCAAATTAGAATACGGTGCAATTATTTGGAGTCCTATCTATAAACTGTACAAAAATAATGTTGAAAAAGTGCAGAAGAAATTTCAAAAATATCTATGCTATAGGAGTGATGGTGTCTATCCCCCAAGAGGATGTGACTACTCACAATTACTGAATAGATTTGGCATTCCTTCCTTGGAAAAGCGCAGAGAGCAGGCGTCCATCATATTTTTATACGAATTACTGCATGGTAACATCGACTGTCCTGTTTTGCTATCGCAAATTAATTTCCTGGTACCTAGATTGACATCTAAATATAAAGTTTCCTTTTACTACAAGAGGGCGCAGACAAATATTCTATCTAAAGCACCAATAAACTTTATGTGCAATAATGCGAATAGGATTGTGAGTTTTTGTGATATCTCCTGTTGTGGATTTCAGGAATTACGAAGTGCTATAGGTTCCCATCTTCGACTTTTTTTACGCCTTTCTCTAGGGGTTTTCATTTGTTACATATGTTTGTATGTGTATATATGTATATATGTGTTTATATGTATATATGTGTATACTCGTATATGTGTGTATGTGTATGTGTATATGGATATTTATGTATATACGAGTATATTCTGGTTTCCTAATATCTATTGATCATATTTATAGTTTCTTTTTTCTCTACTTAAAGCGCCTTCCTCTTTTCTGTGTGTTTTTTTTTTGTTTCACTTTATGACACACAGACTGTGTAAATTAAACCATTGTATTATGTATTGCTCTCTAAATGGTACCTGAACTGTTGGGCAATAAATGCTTTATTATTATTAAATGCTTTATTATTAACTCTGTTATGTTGATTCCTCAATTTTCAATCTTTTTTCGCAATCCCATTTTTCCATATGTTGTTTCATTTAGGTTGGTGGAGGGATGAATGTCTTTTCAGAGAAAGTAATATAAGTTCTGTTTGGCTCCACCGACCGTCACAATCTTGTTTTTTTTTTAATCATTACGAAAATTTCTAATACAATGATATACTTTTTTTAATATCGCTTTAAGAGCATAAAAATCCCATAAATGGCGAAGATTGCAAATCAATATCTCTATTCGTTATGGAGATATGATGAAAAATATGCTTAAATTCCAATTTTCAGGCTATGAATAATTATGTAAACTGCATTAATATCATACCAAATCAAGATGTTTTAATTGAAAATCTATTTTTACGCTTTTTATAACCGATAAGGGTCTTAAGTGTCGCCTGATATATGAAATATATGGAAAAAAAGAGATACTTCAATTATATCTCATATTTTAACTAAGTTGTCTTTGAAATAATAATTCAGAAAATAACGAGTTTTTACCGCTTGTGGTAGTTATTATATCTGGTGAGAGTGCAAATTATGAAATTTTATTTCGTTTAAAAGGCCTTATTAATAAAATCTATCGTGCCATGATATTCAAGAATAGAAACAGAAGAATAAACTAGAACAAATTAGTGCAAACGTCAACCAGTTCGAGCACCTGACCAGATATCACTAACTTGTACTCCAAATCGCTGGAAAATCAAATAGGCTCTATTGGGACACCATATATCTTATGAAAAAAGGACGTTTGAAAATCTGAAAGCTAACTTGCGAACGCCGCGACCTGAACAGTGGTTTTAACGTTTGCACTAATTTATTTTATGTTATTCGTTTGTTTCTGTCCCAGAATGTCATGACACAATTTAACAAGTAGCTAAAAAGCACAGAATTTCCTGAATTCTTCATATTCTAAAGCCAACCGAGTTTAATTATGAGGTATAATATTGAAATATGCCTTATTTTCATATATGAGGCGACACTTATGACCTCTGTCGGTTATAGAAATCATAAAAATTTTACATAGATTGAATTTAAGCAAACTTTTCATTATATCTCCATAACGAATAAAGTTCTTGATCTGCGATTTTCCGAGCAATATTAAAAAAGTATACCGTTGCATTTGCAATTTTCTAGGATATTAAAAAACATGGACCCATCCAAAAAACGCTATCTAGTGGCCACAAAGTGAACTACCTTGACAAGATTGAGCTTTGAGTAGTAGCGCAGTCGCAAGCTCTTTCGAATGAAACTAAGTTCATGAAAATCAGTACAGTGAAACAAGTTATATGGTATTACTCTTTCTGGAACGACATTCAACCCTTCCGTCACCTTAATCAAAACAAAATATGGAAAAATGACTTCGAGAAAAAACTTCGAAAATTGAGCAATCAACATAATAGATCTATTAAATCAGTATGTTAATTTTTGGAACTGAAACTAAGCTCCCTAGCGGCCATTTCAAGGAGCTGAAAATAATCTCCAGCAATTTCCTTCGGTCACATTTGTCATGAAATTTTCTTAGGGTTGGCTCTGGATTAAGCCGTTGCTGCGATTTAGCTGGCGTCCATTATTATTGGGTCAACCGCTACATGTGCAGATCGAGAACATACAGGATGGACGATATGTAACTGGTTAGTTTTAATCTTGAATATTTGCGAAATGAAATAAAATGTCATTTTTTGTCATCTTAATCTTTTATTGAAATTTAGAAATTATGAACCCTGAGCCCCCTTGATTACATTCTTCATAACTTTCTGGTAGGTTTCGGGAGGAATATTTTCAATCACTTCAGTAATATTGTTCTTCAGCTGGTCTACAGTATTCGGTTTGGTGACATAAGCCCTATTTTTCGGTGACCTTGGTGGCCAGTTGACATCACCAAATTGAGAAATTAAACATCCCGGAAATATTGTTGGCAAACGATTCATTGTTTCCCTAGTTGTGTGACAAGTTGCTCTGTACTGCTGGAGACTGGAACCACATGTTTTGCAGGTTAAATGGTTTGATTTGAGGAGCCAGAAAGTTTTGCACCATATCACGGTAGTGCTCACCAGTGACCGTGAAAGAATTACCTGCAGCGTCTTAAAAGAAGTAAGGTCCAATGATACCTCCATACCAAACACCGTACCAAGCTGTGACTCGACGAGGTTGTAGTGGACGTTGATGAATTACACGAGGGTTCTCTAATGCCCGGATACGACAATTAAGCTTATTAACAAATCCGTTCTTATTGAAGTGGGCTTCATCGCCGCAAATGATTTTTATGACTTCTCTTTATTGAACTTTAAAAAAAGCTAAAGAATTTGTATCTGTCTGAAGTGTGAAGGATCCTATATGCCGACTCTACGCCCACTACTTTTCTACATGTCTCTCTTTCATTCTTGTTCTATTAATTGTTGATACAAAATACTTTTTCGTTACCTTCAAAAATATATTATGATTTGCTGATAGGATGTTGGTAGCTATACCAGCAACAAAAGACTTTTAATCCTACGTTTCATTGAGAAAGTTATGGTAGTTAAATGGATGAGCTAAAACTCACTACATTTTTTTTGTATGGTTAGTTCCTTTCTCTTAGGCACTAGGTACACCTTACAGAACAGTTATTATGGCTATCATTGATACTTATGTTTGTCTTTATTATTGTATGATATGTATATGTTCATGATACAGATACAATTTTTTATTTCAGGTTGAGTTGAAAAATACCCTTATATAACACTCCACCTTTTCAATTTTGCACTTTTGCGGCTTTCAAGATATTATTCTTTTGTTTTATTTTGTGTATACAAAGTTGAATAAAGGCACATTATTATTATTATTACTAGTATTATTATACTAAGTGACATATAAATCCGAACACCCAGTTTAAATGGTTTTATTTTAATAAAAGTTGGTGAATGTATTTATCTTACTGTAAATAACAAGTGAACAAATTTAGCCTTATCAGTTGGACATTCCGGTTTTTATACTGCTTTTTTTTAATTCAGTTACGCTCTAAAAATGAATATTTCAGCCGCAGTAAAGAATCAACGTTGGCGGATTTTGGTTCTTGACATCCTTTACGATCGGTTACGATGCCTAGAGTACGGAGACCTGTACGATTTCGTCAACTTAGTGAGTTTGATAGGGGCCGTATAGTGGGACTTCGGGAAACTGGACTTTCTTTTCGGGCAATTGCAGTTAGAGTGCAAAGAAGTGTAGACACTGTGGTTAGGTGTTGTCAGGCATGGCTTCGAGAAGACCGTACGCAAAGAGCAAGGGGCACTGGACGCCGCCGTAGAAAAACAGACCGTGAAGATCGCCGCCTAAGATTATTGGCCTTAAGGTACCGTTTCTCCACTACCAGGTCCACTGCAAATAAATGGTTTGCAGAACACGGAAGACATATTGGCATGCGAAGTGTTTACCGACGAATGAGAAGTTTTGGCTTGTTTTCATACCGGCCACACTGGGTCCTCCCTTTAACTCGAGAACACCGACGTAATCGCCTTGAGTGGTGCAGACAACGGTCACTCTGGGATCAGGAATGGAACAGTATTGTCTTTAGTGACGAGTCTCGATTTTGTTTAGGCACGCACGATGGTCGTGCCAGGGTTAGAAGGCGACGTGGTGAAAGGAGGAATCCACAGTTTTTTCTTAAAAGACATGTTCATCACACTGTTGGAGTTATGGTTTGGGGTGCCATAGCTTATGGTTCCAGGTCACCTTTAATCTTCATCAGAGGTAACATGAACGCGCAGCGTTGTATCCACGAAGTTCTAGAACCCCATCTTTTACCCTATCTTGACACCCTGGCAGATCCAACTTCCCAACAAGATAATGCCCGACCACATGTTGCAAGAGTCACAATATACTTCTTTCAACATAATGATGTCACATTGTTACCATGGTCACCAAGATCTCCCGACTTATCCCCAATTGAGCACGTGTGGGATATGATGGGTAGGAGATTGCTCAATTTGCAACGTCCTCCTCAGACTCTAGAAGCACTTCGAGAGGAGTTGGTGATTGCCTGGAATGAGATACCACAGGAGGACATTGACCACCTGATCAGAAGCATGCCTAGGCGCGTTGGAGAATGTGGAGCACATCAGGGTGCATCCACACATTATTAAAGGTTAAAGGGCTTTAAAGCAGTGCAATCATTTTGAAATTTTTATCATTTACTTATTATGCTTCATTAAGTACTTATACAAAATTTTATTAAAATAAAACCATTTAAACTGGGTGTTCGGATTTATATGTCACTTAGTATATTATTATCATCTTGAAACTTAATTTGAAACCAAATAACCTTAACCAATTGAACTGAAATTTTGTATGCCTTGTTGCTAAGACTGGAGGAATTCCGATTCTAGCTTTTGTGGAGGATTGCAGGATATTGTTGTTGTCCGCTGCTTTGATACCCTGGCTTCACGTATTCTACCTGAAGATAGCGAAATAGCCAAACTTATGTTAGATCAAATGAGATATCGTAGGGCCATCTATGAGAATCTGTCACAATTGGCATTAGGTTGGGTATCTTCAGGTAAAATACGTATGTCTGCATCGATTTGAAGTAACCCAACAACCAATCATCAACACACTATAGTATGTTTTTATGTTATATCAATTTTATTAAAATAAAACCATTTAAACTGGGTGTTCGGATTTATATGTCACTTAGTATATTATTATCATTTGTCTGTAAAAATCGTTATTTTGGGTATTAAGCTGCAATATTGCATGACTGTATTGTAGGCTGTAGTTCTTGGACTAACTGAATTTTGTATGGCCGCAAATACAAGTCTTGTCGCAGCTTCCGAATCGACTCATTATTTGAGTAAAACGTTTTAACAATACGGACGCTCTGTGGGATCGTGTAGCGCTCCATAATGAATTGGACGCATGTGAAATACTACTGAAATGCGTGTATCAAAAATGGCTCGCAGTTTAAATCAGTCAGCTATACATTGGCCACCCTGTATATATCGCCGGTTGCCTTGATAACGTATTTCGCCGTCCTTTGTTGTTTTATATAGAGATAATAGATATCTTGAAGCGACTCGACTCATAACTTGAAATAGCAATTTCCGATCGGTCTTAGATTGTTCCTGTGGATAAAGCAGACTGCGTATAGTATATCCATCAGAGAGTGCCAAGGGAAAACCCTCTGTTCATCCATTATACACTGATGAAGAGCAGTGAGGATGAATCGATGAATAGGGGCTGAATTTTCATCGTGATCGTGAGTAGTTATTACAAAGTTGTGATAAACCAGCTGTTATTTAACGCAGTTGTGGCTTAAGTAATTTGGGTGATAGATAAATAAGATCATTTCAAATTTGAAGTAATTTAAAGTAGCTGCGAAGTTATGAGGAACTTTGTACCCACGTATCCTTTCCCTAAAGGCATTTCCCCATTAAAACCAGCATTTTTGATGAAAAAACACCAGTTTTAATGCCTGCTGCTTTTCCCCTAACAAAATTCTGGCAAGTTCTCTGAATTTTTTTTTTGTATCATTTCACTTTATCACTACCTCTCTGTTTTCATGAAACCTCACCTGAATATGACTTTCTGATAACATTAAAACAATTCTCGTCAACTACAGCAGCCGCTAGTTAAACGATGCTCACAAAGTCTAAGCTTGTGACATCAAGCATTTTTACACCCCAGGAAATCGCCAATTTTATAACTGACAATCAATACTCGATAATGGAGTTGCACATTATTACGATTCGTATACATATTTTTGTCGATTTCAATTTCATGTATACCATGAACGTTTTATGTAATTCAATTCAATTGTTAGTACATGAGATTCTTTTTTGTATGGAGCGTGAAAAAATAAGCAATAATGATTACTCGTACAATATTCGTCTGTGAACGAATTTTTGCCCCTTGGTAAGACTGTCTTACAGAAAATATTCACAAAACTAGGATTGATGAACGTAGTCCGGTTGAAGAACCTAATAAAGAAGGTGCCACTCAAGTTACTACATCATTCATTCTGATATGATTTACAATTATACTAAATGTATTTGTCGATGCTTTTACTGATGTCTGCTTTGGAAAGTTGGTTTTTGTTCTGTGCTTGATACAACCCATACGTTCCCAAATGATGCTTCACAGAGCTGTAGATACTCATGTGCTAAACTTGTTCCTTGATGAGGAGGTCGGGAAATCCTGAAAAAAAAACAATCAAGTTGGTTGAAATGCTTTTTGCTGCCAACAAAAGTCTAAAATAGAACCACATTAGAAAAAAGAGCATATGCGTGAGATTGATTCCTCAAAGATAAGATGCTGTATTCTTGTAGGGCAGAGATCAGTTTTTTTTTGCAATGTGCATGAAAATATTGCAGCATATACAACTATACATATATATTTGCTACCCCTCGCTCTTCAAAACGTTTTGGGGGCAGATACACTTCTGCAAAAAAATGGGGCAGATACACTTTCTTTTTTTTATACTCCAACTACCACGAAGGCCTAAGGCCTAAGCACCCATTGGGTACCGTGGGGCTATAGGGAGATACATGGGAAAGGGGAACGCCACACGGAGATCCGCGGGGTGGTACCTTCGCGTTCGACAGTCAGAGACCGTCTACCACCTACGGACAATCACAACATCCATAGCAAGAGAAAAATTTCTCCTGCGGCCACCGCTGCTTCACAAAAATTATACCTTCCTAATGATTGACCCCCTGAGAAAAATTCCTGGGGTGCCCGTGACTATATATCACGATTACATCAGCTATACAGGGTGTCCGCAAAGTTGGGGTTTTCCTTTACACGACGTGTAGATCTTGAGAAAATAAGCGGATTTTCTTAGTATCATATATTCGTACACCAATGTCTTAAGAGAACCGAGATATTGTGCACGGGTATTACGTATCTTGAAAAGTGACGTTATATCAATTTATTTGACATTATACTGGCTTTTTTTGACGTTATGTAGGTTTTCCTACAAGATGTTAACTTAGCACTTAGTTGTACGTGTCGCCTAAGCGTCATGAGGCTTCAGTTATCAACATTTGGCTCTGATGTGATGTAAAATCTGTTTTAGAGATGACATTACTGGAGGTCTAAGCTGTACGTTGTATGTGTTGATGATAATTCCTTTGGATCCTTGTCTCAAATACACTTAATTGAGATTTAAAGCTAGAAATTAGTTGCGCATCTACTTTTTCTTATCGATCCTGGAAATAACATATGCAAATTTGCTGAATTTAAAAAATGAGATAAGAAATAATTATATTCACTGTACACTGTCGAATTACAAGCCATATACATGCTAACAGTAATTACAAACAAAGCGGGCACGGTGATGATTTCCCGTAAATCTCCTCAAAGTTTTTCGTAATTTATAACTTTGAACATAACTTGTCTTCAGAAATGACAACATAAATAACCCGTCAGGCACAGCTAATAGATATACTTCATTGGCAGCATATTCAGTAATGATTTTACCTGCAGACCAATACACATAAGCATCCAGATGCGATCTTGCTATTCAACCAACTTTCTTCTCAGAAATAAAAACTACAGACACAGACCACTAGGCCTCACAAAACATATATGCAACAGATAATTCATGTAGTTTAGTTGAGTGATTCCTCAATAGATGGACGTTCACAACGATCCTAGTGAGGAAAAGTGGAATGACTGTTTGCGCCCTAAAAACTACCTAGTCTGCAAGATGATATCTTAGACGTTTTTTGACGTTTTATAGGTTTTTTACATAATACCTGTCCTATCACTCGATCACATCCACTGCGCCAGTACCAGCGTACAATTACACGTCGTACGACTACGATGTAAATACGGATCTTACGACAGAGCCGTACTTATATTTTCAATTCAACTGAACAGTGAGTACTTGTTCATTCATTTTTTTTACATGTTCGCTTACGTTTCACCACACATTAGGTTTGTTATATCAAGCGTAGTAGTGTCTGAAAAGGAAAACCCCAACTTTGCGGACACCCTGTATCTCGGCTATATCTTGTCAATATTATCCGCAATGTGTAGACACATATAAGTTTCACAGTTTCTCATCAGAGGTGCTGCAAAGCGTCCAACGTCTTACATTACTTGCATTACATTAAATTGAGTAGTATTCCGAGAGCTCGGCAATCAGACAGCAATATATGAAAATAGGTCGGACAGTGTCAAAGATGTGTAGTAATATAGCAAGGCCATACTAAAACTGCCATATTTTGCTGCCTCCGTTATTGATTTAAGGTTACATAAAATCGGAATATTTGGTTTTCCGATAGGTACATCAGGCATTTTGGTGGTAGAATCGTGATGATTCTAACCAAACCATGATGACTGGTAAACGAGGGGCGGCGTGAATGCTATGGGTTTTAGAAAACGAGAATACGAATCCATTCTAGTACATGCTCTAGAAGAGACACCATTTGATGCTTACTTGATTAGGTACATTTTTGCATTACATTTATATTTTTAAGCAGTGCTTACCTGTAAAAAACATCAATAGCTTTTCTAATTATTTCTATAGCTTCTACTCTTTTGTCCTCCATTGTTTTGAAACCAAATTCATACTGTTTCTCGCACCATTTCAACTTTTCCAAGCTTTCTGTTAAACTCACATTCTTTTCGCATTTAGGACAAGTTGCCTCTGGTTTGGATAAAGGTAACGTAAAATAATAGGTACAGTGATCACTGGGGCACCTAGAAACATTCATAATGCTTGTAGGAGAAATTAATAGAAAATATGTAATTCTTTCTCTTTATATATCTATTTGAAATTGTGTACTTATAAAGTCTGATATATTTCGTGCTTGGCTAAGGAACCGAAACAAATAATATACGAACCTGACACATTTGGTAAAGCTTTCCAGTCCTGCATTGATCATTGGCCAATTATAGGTACAAGCCAAACATTCACATTTAAACCAATATCTGGATAGCAATGACCGTTGCCTCTGTTGTATAGGCTTTCTAGAGAATATCGGGCCGTAATTTTCAGCTACCATTTCATTTGGCGCTAGAGGTCTTGATGTTTTCAGCACTATACTTTTGCCGACGAAATGCCTGAAAGTCACCGATAACCACTATCATTTATTAACGTATTCTACCGGAAGATAACAAACCTAATACTATATTCCCGCATCCAAAAACTTATTCGAGATGAAATGAGATTTCTAAGCGTGATCTATGAGATTTTGTCACAGTTATGTTTCCCCTCTTCGCAATATATGATCATATACAGAGAGATCCAAATATCACTGACAAGGTAATGTATACGAGCTAGAAATGCGAGAAGCGTGCAATACGTATGTTAGAAAGACTCCGCAGATGGCAACACGGCAAGCCGCAGATGCGTCCGTGACCTCGTCACTCGGGTTGCTAGGCAACGTTGTGCTTTCTATCTCTTCTAACATACGAATTGCACGCTTGTCGAGCTTCTCTCTCGTACAAATAACAACGTCAGTGATTTATGGATTTCTCTGTATAACTAACTACAGCGCCGTCTATGGGCTAGTAACCTTTTCAAAGTAGCGAGGACCGGAGCGGAGAAGAATTGCTGTGACAAATTCTCGTAAAGTACGCTCTCATTTCATCTAGGATAATTGTTCGGAGGAATGATACTATCAAGTTGGTTATGCTCAGGTAGAATACGCTAATCAATGCCACTATACAGGGTTATCCAAATTAAGTGCCACCATTAGTAACTTTGTTATTAGTGAAAATACAAAGTTGTTTGAATTAGCAAACTAGTAGCATTTTTAACGCTGGTAAAAATGAGAAATAAAAAAAAACAATTGAGAGTCGTTATTTTGATTTTTTTCAGTAAAATAACATTTTTTTTAATGGAAACCCCTGTATATTATATTTTTTTCTGTTAAAGCATCAAATTTTAAACAAAAAAGTTCATAATGACTTTTCCGCTAAAGTCAAAAATAAAGTCAAAATAACGATAAATATTTTTAATTATTTGCAGTATTATAATATTAAGACGGCTATGAAAACAACATGGCGTTCGCGATTTGACAGCATTAAGATAAGCGACAAATTGTTAAACTGGACATACTCGCAACTAGAAGGCTTTGGAAAACAATGATAAAATCAAATAATGTCAAACATTAGTGTAAATACTTGTTTATAAGCTTTATTGTGTCATTAATTTAAAGAAAAATGTTCTCCCATGAAGAAAAGTGTGATATGTTAGAATGCTATTTAGTGTGCAGAAAATTCTCCTTGAGAGCAAGAATTATATCCCGCTCGCATTCAACCGTATGAACGATATTTTCTGAGACTTTATCGCAAATTTAGGGGCGACGAAAATGTTTTTGCTAAAACAAGGGCAAAAAAAGAATTCATAATAAGCGAGGCCACGGAAATTGCAGTTATTGGATATTTTCAAGCTTATCGTGAGAATTCAATAGCAGATATTCTCAAGGACTCTAATTTCAGTTATGGTACTGTTCAAAGGATTTTAAAAAAATACAAATTTATTCCGTATAAGTACCGACCAGTTCAAACGCTTTTGGCAGGGGATCCAGAGAGAATACTTGTTTTTTGCCATTGGTATCTTAGCTTCTGTCGCCAAAATGTAAATAACTTTCGTTACCTTTTATGGACAGATGAATCAAATTTTTCAAATTCTGGAATGTTTAATAGAAAAAACCACCATTATTGGTCAAGAGAAAATCTTTTGTTAGTACATCCAAGAGGCCCACAAGTCCGTTTCAGTTTCAACGTTTGGTGCGGTATAATTGGTTCAAAAATTGTTGGCCCGTTCTTTTATGAGGGAACCCTAACTGGTGAAAGATATGTGGAATTTATGTCAGAAATTTTGACTAATTTCTTAGACGAATTGGATCTTATAAGTAGACATCATCTGCATTTTCAGCAAGATGGCGCACCTGCCCACAACTCCAGAGGTACTTATCATTTTCTAAGTACTACTTTTAATGATCAGTGGATAGGAACAAATGGCCCAATACAGTGGCCTCCCAGATCACCAGATCTAAACCCACTTGATTACTTCTTGTGGGGTTACTTAAAGAACCAAATTTACAAGCGAAGGTACGATAACCTTGACGCGTTAAAGACTGCAGTTAGGGAAAAGATAACCCAGATAGATGGTAGGACCATACTTAAGACAGTTCGAGCAGTTGAAAAACGTGCCCAAAAATGTATTGAAGAACAAGGTGGTGTTTTCGAGCATCTTCTTTAAAAAAAATTGTTATTGTATTTTGTAAGATTATAAGTTGATGTTGAAAATAAAGTTTGTCGATACAATTTAATTGTTTCAGATTGGAGGCCATAACTTCAACAATTTGTAACCTAGGAGAAAAGTTATTGTAAGCTTTTTTGTTTAAAATTTGATGCTTTAACAGAAAAAAATATAATATACAGGGGTTTCCATTTAAAAAAATGTTATTTTACTGAAAAAAATCAAAATAACGACTCTCAATTGTTTTTTTTTATTTCTCATTTTTACCAGCGTTAAAAATGCTACTAGTTTGATAATTCAAACAACTTTGTATTTTCACTAATAACAAAGTTACTAATGGTGGACACTTAATTTGGATAACCCTGTATACCTCTCTAGATTTGCATTAGTTTCCGAGTGATAATTTTTTTTCTCCTCGATTGAACTTCTTATCTACTATTGGACCTTTTTTTTTATACTCCAACTACCACGAAGGCCTAAGGCCTAAGCACCCATTGGGTACCGTGGGGCTATAGCGGGATACATGGGAAAGGGGGAACGCCACACGGACTCTGGCGAGGAAACACGTGTGCATGTAACATGCACACATTCTTGCTCCGCCTACGAGATCCGCCGCGTTCGACAGTCAGAGACCATCTACCACCTACGGACAATCACAACATCCATAGCTAAGAGAAAAATTTCTCCTGGGACGGGACTCGAACCCGCACAGCGCACGGCGACTGATCAGGAGACCGAAGAGTCTACTACTGCAGCCACCGCTGCTGCCTTAACCGTTTCGCGTTTCGAACCTGACGCTTCATTTTTTAATATTTTCGGATGAAATTATTACAGTGTACCAAAAACAAAACCCTACAGGGTTCTATCGTGCCACTTTTTCATTTTTTACACTGCTCATTTTAGAAAATCTCGACGTTCAACAAAAAAAGTAAGCATTTCAACCCACCATAAATCTTGTGCAATAACATAATTTCGAAAATTGCTCCAATAGTACCCTGGAAAATTGTCTTCTGAACATACCTATGAATTTCAGTCAAAAATACTGAAAAATGTAGTGGCAGTTTCGAAGCAGCTGAACCCTTGTAAATGGCTTGAAACTCACTTCGTCGGAGCCGCCTTAAGCGGTGTATGTTAGCATCAAGAAAGAGGACAAAAAACCAGTTCTGAATGAGTTCTGTTATTTTTGTGGCATCATCTAGTCTTGCTTATCGTTATAATTTCTGACTTCCACTTTCTACATTCCAGCCCACTCATTTTGAGTATGCAAGTATGCAAAAGTGGTTGCACAGTGCGATGCAAAATATATACACCACTGTGCACCAGACAGTTTGAAATGAACATAAGCACATTAACGATCAAAAATCTTAAATTAACATTCTAAAACTCTGGAATGACTATAAGCAACTTCGATTAAATTCGGAAAAGTTTGTAACGGTTGTAGAAATGAGCTTTCGAACTTTCCATAACTATTCCTATTCAGCTCGTGTTTAGTTTAACTTTCGCATAATACGTCAAAGCTGGTAGCATGGTGAGTACTTAGTACTCCTCTGACTGACGATTCTTTTTATATTGAATTAGTCAGAAATATAAATACCGGGCACGAAGACTGCTATAAGGATCTTACAAGATGCCTTGAAAATCAACTTTTGAACTAACTAAGGTTAGCAGAACTAGGAAAATCCTCCTCAGGCAAACTGTTAGACAATGTCGACACCCTTTGAACAAAGGAGTGGTGGTACTGGCCAGTTCTAGACGTACGAAGTCGACACAGTTGGCGTGGAAGACCATAATCGAGGCTAGGGCTTTTCTGGGCAAGTACAGGGTGAAAAGATTTTGCGGAGAAAAGTACTTGTTAGCCGCAAACGTAAATGACCTAGACTTTTACCAGCAGCTGTTGTGATTGATGAGATGTTTTCATGCAACGTCGAATCCCCGGTGACCTGGACTCCGACCAGCCGAAATGATTGGCTATTTGGCAGAACTCGGCCATCCATCGAAACCGATGGGACGCCTATGCGGTGGATGAGCTTGTCCGGCTTCTGTCATCCAGAGATGGGAAGGAACTGTGATTTCCTGCTGCCATATCAAAGGTTCGTTAGTACCGTGATTTGCGAAGCTACTCATACGTGGCAGTATCACTATTACTTTTAGCACACTGCTTATGCCGATCACACGAAGATTTACAACACCGTTACAAACTCTGCTCTGTTTCAGCGAGATCTTGACATCGTTCGTCAATGGTTAGGCAGTTGGCTTCTACCTTTGAACCTATTAAAGTGTTGTGCCTTACAACCTGGGAAAACAAATCAGCGGCTCGTATACAAAATCTGTCAACGATCGTTTATCCTGGTCAGAGTGTCAACACATGCGTCTTCATTTATAAGACATTTGCAAGGTCAATTCTGGAATTGTATGGGAAACTGTGTTTGTGCAGAAATCTCCTCGAAGCAGTAAAGTGTCGAGCAACTCGAATCCCATTTGGAGTTCGCAGACCTAGCTATGAAGATCATCCACATCCAGTCGACAATATTTTCCGACCGAAGAATTTGAGGCGATCTAATAGTAACCTTTAGAATATTTCATAAATCAAATCCAAGCGAATAACCAAAATTTCTCTGTTATGTGCCGCGGTTATAATATGGTTCAAGATGACACACGGGTTGATGACGTCAGTTACACGAATCGCTTGAACGCGTTGGTTTTAACCGCGGTTTTGTTGCAAGTTGTTTATTTTAGAAAAGCGCGTATATAATCTCTGATTATTTTTATTATCATTTAATAATCGGTGCTTTTTCGTCTACAAATGTGTATGGAAAGTTTAAATAAGAAACCTTTCATAATATTCATGGGAGACATGTTTTTTTTTTTTCAGATTTTTTTTTAATGATCGAACCATGGCTTGGTAGCTATGATAACTTTCAATTCTCTAAATTTTTCCGCATGTCAAAGAAAACATTTATTGATTCAGCAGAAATGATGACAAAAGAAATTAGCAAAACCGTATACAGGTGGATATCATCGAGTGAGTTTATATGGCCATATTTTAATATTCTTGTAGTATATGGCTACACAGGATACTTTGTTAAGCATAGGAACTACATTTAAAGTGTCCCCAACAACCGTAATGAGTATAACTAATAAGTTGTTCCACTTTATGGTAAAACTGAAGTCAGCCTGTATCAATTTTCTCAAAAATGAAGCTGAAGTACAATAACAATATCCAATAGCCGGGAAAATTATAACTTGTCACATTTCAAATAATAACCAGAAATATAAAACTACTCTTGAGTTGGGTAAATACCACAATTTTGCGGTGATAACTATGACATATAACAGCTGATTCGTGACGTCACGGATCTTATAACCAAACTGATAACTACACTCGCTTGAACGGATCGATAAATACCAACCCAAAATGGTAAATACCATTTCCATTTGGTTATCCGCTTGAATTTGATTATGGTTTCATTGGTATCAACCTAAAGCACCTATACAAACTGTCGCGCAGCAATCTCCGCAGTCACAGCTTTAAACTGATAAAGGAGCCGCTTAGATCGACAGGCCGTCAGTGGTTTCTCCCTAATCACGTATTCAACACTTGGCACAGTTTACCAGAAAGTGTGGTTAATGCTACATCAGTCAATAGCTTTAACTTTTTGTTTCTATTTTATGTATTTTACGCTACTTGTCCGCAGATTACGTTTGTCTTTTGTGCATGAGCTTATAATATTGTACTCTGCTAATTTCTATTTTGTAAAAATATTAATAATAAATCAGGATTTTTCAGTTTCTCCGCATGAAACAACTTTGTACAGAGATGGTATGGTCGCAGACAAAAGAGCAAGCAGCCTTATATAACTACCTTGTAACTGCAGGTTGACAGTCGTGGTTAAGCAACGAAGCAGTAGGATAGATTCCAACTCCAATATAAATAAATTTTGATCCTTTGAATTGGTGCTCTTTACTCCTTCTAGTTTCAAATATTTCATGTGCGTTAAACTGGAGAATTTGCAAATGGAATAGAAGTAACTCACACACGCGCAGCTCTTCTTCCGTCAAGTCTCCATCCTTATCTGAAACCAGAAAAAACCGATATGGAAAGATACTTCAGGTGTACTTTTTTTTACTTCCTACGCCACTAGGCGAGACATTATTGTAATCGCAAAAACAATCGAAAATGATGTGTTTTTGGATGTTGTATGACAGACTGTCGGTGTGCCTGTCTGTTTGCGTGTCCGCTTATCCTTAGCCTGTCTATAACTTGAGAAGTAGCGCTCGGATTTTGATAAAATTTTCACATATGGCAAAGACGAAGAAGCTTTGTAATTTTCGAAAATCGGTCTAGTGGCACCGGAGGAAAGAGCCAAAAACGAAAGTAGTAAAAATCGCTCAAACTTCGTTTTTTGGCGTTTCAGAGGGTCCTGATCATTTTCTGAAAATTTTTTGTAGGTCTTAAAAGTTGGGTTGGAGGTTGTAGGGGGTGGGTGAGGTTATACGACAAATTTTTGATCTAAGACTACTTATACGCTCTTGACCCCGCTAATTCTATGAACCTATGTGTATTAGCCATATTTCACACATCATAGATTGCCTCGTAAATTTGCCTTTAAAGCTTAGTATGATAAAGAAATGTTTTCGATCCGCGAACCTGATATCTGAGCTAATCGCCCTGCGAACCGATTCGCCTGACTAACCTATCCGAACTGCATCCGAGAAAACATGTACATGGACCATACATGAAATGAACAATAACTCTTTGGCGCAGATGTGGATAGGGACAACTTTGCCAGATGGACAGTAACTACCGGTAGGACAGGGAAATAATGTGTATGGACTAATTGTATGGACCTGTTTGGCTCACTTGATACGTTTCATTTATCTGTTGTAGATGTTCTTAACTGACTTCTTTTTCAGAGGCTTTAAATTGTCCCGAACTTAATCCTTTATAAACTGATGGCGGCGTTGCGTAGGAAGTGCAGAGTCAACCTACTTGATGCCATTTTTTTACTGAAGTAGTCGCGTAGCCAGAAACCTAAATACCTGGATACGGCGACTGCTATAACGAACTTAAAGACACCGTGTTAATCCCATTTTTGGACTGTCTAAAGTTAACAGAACGGGGAAAACCTCATCAGGCAGATTGTTCCACAATCTCGACATCCTAGGAATGAAGAAGCGGTCGTACTGGCCAGTTCTCGATGTGCGAAGTTCGACAGAGTTCGAATGGGGGGCGGGTCCTCCTGGAAGGTTCAAAGCGTGGCGACATCATGGAGGAGAGCTCCGAGGAACAAAGCCAGTTGATATAGCGGTAGAAGAAGAAAGATCACCGACGGCCCGCCGGTGCGAAAGGGGCCCGAGACTGCCTGTTAGAGAAGAGTCATCGATCAGTCGGACAGCCCTCCTGTGAACAGCATCTAGTAGAGACAATAAAGCCGGGGAAACCCAACGATGTGAGCAGAACTCGAGGTTAAATCTTATTTGGGTATTGTACTGAGTGAGGAGGTTGTGCGGAGAAGTACTCCATAGTCCTAAACAAATAACCCAGCTTCTTACCAATTTCGCTGGTAGTTATTGCGATTGACGAGATGTGTCCATGCCAAATGAAGTTCTCGGTGATCTGGGCTCCGATCAACCGAAATGAATGGATCTTTGGCAGGACTCGGCCATCTATGAGCGCCAGAGCATTCAACTGTGACAGATTGTTGCGTTTCCAAGCGGTTATAAATTGCAGGTCTCTCGTCAGAGGCGAAGTCGCTACTAGTCTTATTCTCTCCAGCTCATCAGCAGAGATCGGATTCTCAAGTAGAGGAGGTCGTTGTCATTCAATAAAAACAAGGTTGGAGCCAATATGATACCTGGAACACCCATCAGTTAATACGGATATCTTCTACAAAGCTTCTCTGAGAGGACATACTGTAAAACATCAAGTCAAGGCATTTTTTATTGTGAGAATGGTCTGTAGAACCTCAGTTCTTGTGTCATATCATCAGTTCGTAGTCTGCCAGGTCTAGTATTCTTAGAACACGACTGTAAAAGAAGTGGTCAACAATGAAACAATAGATGGTGATTAAAACAATGTATTAACGCTTGAGCTGGCAGAGAAGCCAAATGCTTGCCCATCAGCTTACGATGTTGTTTCTCCTTGTGTTAATTTTGCACCTGTAAAAGATGCTTACCTTTCCGATTTTCTCCAAAATATCCACTTCTCTCCAAACATTTTAAAAGAAAAGCAGCCATCAACGTTCTTTGCAAAAAATCCTCTCCAGATCTCTTTTCAGCATTGGTACATAGTGAATAAACTTTCTCTTTGGACCTATTTTGGTATATTCCCAAACATTCCGCCAGCGAGTTTTGAGTCACCATCCTGAGCGCGGTATGGGTTAAAATGCTCATTCCAGAACCTATAAGGAGATCCAAGTATTTGCACTCGAACTTGTGGTATGTTTTGACAGCAGTATCTCTGCATCCAGGTGAACAGAAGGCAACATTCGAGCAGTCTGCACAGCCATATGCAGCTTCCAATCTAAGAAAAGTAATTTCGGTTAAAATATGTTTAAATTGTGCCATGCTGGACTTGCTTAACCAGTATCACCCACAGATGATTTAGATTTCCAAATTCGTTTAAAAAATACCACACATTCTAAGAGAAACGTTTGCATTGAAGATGAATCTACGTATCATTTCATAATCAATTTCACATTGAACTTTGCTTTGAGACACTCCACAGGAAATGTCCACTGATTTTAAATCTGGTGATCGAGGTGACCACGTAATATCACCAAAATAAATAATCACGCTATTTTTTATGAAAACGTCATGAACTGATTTCCCAAGAATTGATGCCACATTTTGGTGAGATTATACGGCTACCGCGATCACCAGAATTGAGCCCCATGGACTCTTGTGGGGTACCTGACAAGGAAAGCTTATGTCAATACACCGAGAAATATCTCTAACTTGAAATAAAATAACCGTCGCATAGTGAGCATTACTGAACCTGCTATTTTCAATAAAAGTAATTCAACTAGAATTTGTGAATTTTAATTTAATTTGGAATTTGTAAATAGTCTAAATGATAGTAGCTCCACGACTGATAGAACACAAAATAATTTAACTAGATTCTTAAAGAATATCCTACAAGCCTTCTAGCCGAAGATACAGACACTTCTGGGAAATCTTGTTTGTACGACACAAATTTTGATTTCTTGACTCAAGAATAGAAAATTTTTTGAGGAACAATATTTTTCTCAATTTTTTTAAAAATTGCTTCATCTTCAAATACCTCCTAGTAAAAATGTTTATATCTATTCCCATATGTTCCGACTCTTTTAGAAACAATCAAGTACCCGACCAAGTTCCAAAAATAGTTTCAGTAAAATGGAAGCAAAAGAAAGTGTATTCTTACGGTAAACAAATCTGGTACAAAGTAGTACCAGATGCCACATCCTGTCAAAAAGCAAGTACTTTGCGTTTGGCAGGATTACTGTTACTGTCGCTGTGACACATTTTCTTTAAGGATCGTAACGTGTAATTAAAATGAAAAAGCACATTTTATGAGAATCATTCAACATCTGGCAGGATCTTTAAGATGCAGATGGTAAAATTTGCTTCCTTCTGCTCTTCAAAAAGTTTTGGGGGCTCATACATACTTCCTATGATATTATGTGGGGACTGTTTCGCTTTTTAAAAATTTCGAATTCACATTCGTATGCTTGTACTTCCCTCCTGGGAAAAATTTCTGCGGTCGCTCATGGTAGCTGGTAGGATAGTTGTCAAACAGTTGGTGACAACAATATAAAAGGTACTGACAGACACACACTAAGAAATTGGACCAAGAAAAAGTCCCTAGAATGGTGGAACAGCCAATTGGGGCAAAGGCAGGCACAAGAGTTCATCAAAGAACGAAAACCGGCTTTTACAGAGGATCTGCTCGGACTCATAAGGGCCATAGTGGGTTTACTAACAGAATATTGTCGTCTAAATCGACATATGAGACTTTTGCGTCTGGCAGAAGAGGCCACCTGCCGTTTCTGCAGAGAGCATGAGGGAACCCCAGTGCATCTCATGTGTCACTGTGAAGGCCTGGCAAGGCTACGGTTTCAGATAGTAGGAACCATAAGTCCAACAGCGGAAAGCTACATGCAAGGCCCTGTGTGTCAAGGCTGCGGAGTCTGATAGAAGAATCAAGGATGGACAGTGCTTTAGAATGTTATATATGGGGGTCACAATAGATCCACCTGGGTCGCAGTTACGTTAAGGCTGGCGAGCCAACCTCTCACTTCTGTAATCTGTAATCTGTCTACTTGACATGTACTGACTTTTACTGTTTAAATACGCATCTGGTAGAGGTGTAGAGGTGATGGAGGGTCATTCGCGGCAGTATATGCACAACGCACAATAAATGCAGCATGCATTTGTAATAGAAAAACACTGCGTCAAATAGATTGACTCTGCACTTCCAACGGAACACTGTTACCAGTTCACAAACTAGCCCTTCTGCCTTTTTTTTGTTTTTGGCTTCTTTTCTCCGTCGCAGCTGGACCGAATTTCAAAAACTACGTATAGTAGGACCTTTGTGTTAAAAAGTTATCAAAATCCGAGCGATGCTTCTCAAGTTACAGGCTGTTATGAGATTAGCGGACAGACGGAAATAAGTGACATCGTTTTTCGTGATGTACATGTCATATAACATCCAAACAACACAATACCTAATTTACGCGATTATAATTCCTCTCCGCAGGATATATATGAGTTTTGAGAATTGAGTATGTTTACCAAAAAAAAAAATCTAACAGAAAATGAAAAGCTTACGTTACCTATGAAAGCAATGGTGGCAATGCGTTCCAAACATCTCTGGAAGTAAACATGCTGCATATGGTTGCTCAGTTACTATTGGTTCTCCTGTCTTTATATAATCATCTGCTACAGTATATCTGCCCATTGTTGGTCTTTCTTCTACCCTTACCTTCTTAGAAATAAACTGTTTTTCTTCGGGTATTCTTGACTCTAAGAAAATACATAAAATATAATGAAACTCTTGTAACTTGTCCCTATCCTACCCGAAAACTGTAAGCATTATAGGTGGTAAGAAAAATATCAGAAATGCTTGATTTTGTGAAAAAAATATATTTGGCTATGCCTAAAAAATGGTGTCGAGTAGGTTGACTCTGCACTTCCCACGCAACGCCGTTATCAGATCATGAACGATTATGCTCAGCACAAACTAGATCCTCTTTAGAAAAAAGCCCATACAATTAGTCCATAAAAATCCTTCCCCTGCTCCACCACTATGCTGTGGCACGGCAGAAATACGTGTGACACCATACCAGAACAACAAGACTGGCTGCATGACGCCGGGAGCAGTAGCCGCGGCCGGTAGGTATGCGATCAGTCTGCCAAGCCTAGTTATAAGAAGTATATGATGTGCGAAACTTGACTAATATGTGCGCATGAACTACCAAGGTTAGGAGCGTATAAATGCACATCAAAAAGATAAACCCTCCCCACCGCCCTACAGCCTCCACCCCAAGTCTTTTTCCCTCTAGTTTTTTTTCAAAAATGATCAGGACCTTGAAACGTCAAAAAAATGAAGTTTGAGCGATTTTTCCTTGTTTGTTTTAGGCATTTTTCTCCGCCGCCACTAAACGGATTTTCAAAAACTACAAAGCTTTTGCGTCCTTGGCATAATATTGTGTAAACATTTCATCGAAATTCGAACTTCTCAAGTTATAGGCGGACAGACCGACAGACAGGCACACACAGACCGACGGAAATGAGTGACATGGTTTTTCATGATGTACATGTCATATAACATCCAAAAAACGTAATATATCATGTAAAAAAGATTATGTAAACGGTAAAAACAATGGGAGAAATTACATGCAGATTTTATACGTTTCCATGCACATTAAATTCGAGGCAAGAAATAAATGGATACCTGCTGCAAATATGAAAAAGTAAGCAACATAACCTAGTAAATATACTTCATTTTTACTATACTGTGTGCAAATATAACAACAAAATAAACATTAAAATAATTAATATAGGCTGGTGTGAAGCTAACTCAAAAACTTAGTTTCCATTAATATACAAGGTACCCTAAACAAAGTATCTGGAATACAAAATAGAAGAAACAATACAATATAGATCTTAGACAACACGTACAAAACACTTTCTGTATTTTGTATCTGAAATACTAGATACAAAATACGTATCTCTTAAATGATTTTTAAAGATAAATTACTCTTGTAACAAAACAACATTTTATTGAGTTTATTTTATTACATGAATTATTTACGAATAAAATGTAACAAAATATTATACTTGTAAGGATCTGATTCAGATAGTAAAACCAGTTCTTTAAACATTTTATCACTCATTTTCATTCGATGAAGCCTCATCATCCTCCACAGGAGCAGAACTTTGCAAAGAGGTGTATTTGAAACATATTTTTTCATTGTTGCTCACACATATAAGCTCTTTAAGCTGTTATCTTTATTATTTAGGTATTGCAGTATTTCTTAGTCATCTATGCTACCAGTAGGCCCCGTATTTTCACTGTTTTCGCGAGTTGCAATAGAGTCCTCAAAAAACGTAAAAATATTCGTCTTTCACTCCTTTCATATCCCCTCCAATATTGTCTAAGGCCTGCGATTATTGTCGATACATTTTACGAGTTTCAGTCAGGATAAGTACTTTTACACATCTGTTTTTCTAGCTTTAACTATTACCAAAAGTATTTTAGTAATCATAGTATTTACGAAATACTAAGATATCAAGCGAAAGGTATCTACAGGTAAATACAAGATATAAAATGAATTTAAAAAGTATTTAGTGCGTGTAAGTAATAAATACAGGGTGTCCGCAAAGTTGGGGTTTTCCTTTTCAGAAACAACTACCCTTGAAATAACAAAGGTAATGCGTAGTGAAACGAGGGCGACCAAGTAAAAAAAATAAAGGAAAAAGTACTCACTCTCCAGTTGACGAGAAGGGCTAAGTACGTCTCTGCCCGAAATCATACCACTCCAACAGAAAATAAAATCAGCTGATGCGCTACCGAGCAGACGCAGAAACCACATTGATTGTCTTACACTTAATGGCACATCTTCTAACAAGGAAGGCAAAATGTTGCGTAAAAAGTCTAGGTATTGCATCCCGTCCAATCTATTTGGGAGAATAAATGGTCCAATGAGCATACCGTTCACTATGCCAGCCCAAACATTCACCGAAAATGTTTGTTGAAAATGTGTCCGACGGACAGCGTGCGGATTTTCTACTGACCAGACATGAGTGTTGCGAAAGTTGTTCACCCCATTACGCGTGAACGTAGATTCGTCTGTCACCAATATGCACTTCAAAAAGTCCGGATTATTGTCATGTTGATGCAACAACCACTCACAAAACCGCACTCTTGCTGGAAAATCGTCAGGTTGAAGGGCTTGTACACGTTGGACGTGAAACGGATACAGGCCCTCTTCACGCAGCCTTTGCCACACTTTAGTTTTTGATACTTGCACTTCTCTAGCCACGTCTCTAGTGCTTGTTGGGGGATTCTCGTCTACGCAATTACCTCTACACGCGTGACCGTAACCGTCGGTTGAAGGTTGCATACTGACCTGACACACTGACCCCGACCCAGTTCTGTCGTCGGGTTGAGCCAGTGACCTTGTACCACTGGGTGATGTCGCGGCTACAGGACGGTATTCAGATATTTTTGATGTTGCAGAGCCCTTTATCTCGGTTCCCTTAAGACATTGGTGTATATGGTACTAAGAAAAATTGCTTATGTTTTCAAGATCTACACGTCGTGTAAAGGAAAACCCCAACTTTGCGGACACCCTGTATAAAAATGTTCGTGAATTAAAATTTTAGATACAAGGTGGAAATACTTATGTTGTATCTTGTATCTCGATTTCAGTTACCGGTATCTTAAATAAGTCACGTCCCTGATAATTTCATTAAGTAGATACTTACTCTTAACGGTGCTTGTGGAGAGTTTGTGTCAGAGCTCTTATTAAGTATTCTCCGTTGTTTCAGTGAAAGGACTACAGCTGTGTTCATTTATCCTAAGATCTTCAACGCCTCCAGAATCTGTGCTTTACACAAATTTATTCCCATTGTGCATAGTTTTAGATTGGAAGTTTGAATCATGTTGAAATCCCGGTATCATTATCACATTTTTTTGTTGTTCAATTACGCAGATTATTTGATTATTACTACATATTTATTTAGTCTGTATGAAAAACTAGCCGATAATTGTTATTAAAGCATTAGTTACCAAAAATTAACAGATCCTCAGTTCAGAATAATTATAGTTACTAGGCGGCGCTGTCATCGCGCACACACAGCGAATTGCTGTCACCCGCATCTGCAAAATACGACATAAATATACGGAAAACACGGCAGGCGGCACTATTCGCGTATTATAATCAATTTCCCCACGCTTTATGAGGAACTAGTAACCACAAACTGGGATTTCTTAGATACTGCGCTTGATCCTAACCAAGCAGTTGAAACTTTCTACAACAACTTATTTCCAATACTTGACAGACATGTTCCTTCTGCAAAAATATTCAAGCATAAGTATCCTGTATGGTATTCCAGCGAAATGATTGCATTAGTAAAAGAAAAGGGAAAATATCATAAAAGATTCAAGTCTACTAATAACATCGCATATTATCAGGAATTCAATAGGCTTAGAGCCACATTTAAACAAAAAATTAAGCAGGCTTATATAACTTACATTCAAACACTTCAAAGCCAGCTTATTAATGAACCTAAATCTTTTTGGTCATTCATGCACAGTAAGAGTAACACATCTAGAATTCCTAATAAAATGTTCTACCAAAATAACTCCTGTAATGACCCCGTATAAATAGTCAATGCTTTTGCTGACTTTTTTCAGAGTGTTTACTCTCCGCCGGGTGATCGTGTTATAAGTGATGAGTACAAGAATTGTAACAATGATATTCTTATTAATATAACATGCGAGTCAATAAGTGTAAAAGAGATATTAGATGCTGCAAAGAAACTCAAAAACAAATTTACATCAGGGCCAGATCAACTTCTATCGTTTTTCATTAAAGACTGTGTAAAGCTCTTCTCAACTCCTTTGTTGACAATTTTTAATTCAATTCTACGTTCATCGGTTTTTCCTGATAAGTGGAAGGTTGCCAAAATCTGCCCAATTTTCAAGTCGCAAGACAGAACCTTAGTAAATGATTACAGTTCGATTACTATACTGAATAATTTTGCAAAGCTCTTTGAAATAATATTGTATTCCAGAATTTACTTGGCAACTAAAGACCATCTGTCAGTGCATCAGCATGGCTTTATGAAGCAGAGATCCACTATTACGAATTTGGCCACGTTCGGTCAATATCTATGCGAGACGGTAGACAATAGAGGGCAAGTGGATGTCATATATACTGATTTCACAAAAGCGTTTGACAAAATTGACCATCAACTACTTCTACAAAAAATTGAATACATGGGATTCAACAGAACTTATGTGGATCTTCTCAAGTCTTATCTAGACTTGAGAACTCAATATGTATTCTATAATGGATTTAGTTCTTATAAATATATGCCAAGTAGTGGTGTACCTCAGGGTTCTAATTTGGGCCCCCTATTGTTTGCCTTATACGTTAACGATCTTTGCGGCACATTATCATGCAAGAAGCTTATGTTTGCTGATGATCTGAAGCTTTACGCATGTGTTTCTAGCTGGCAGGATTGTGAAAACCTCCAACAACAACTAGTTATTTTACAAACATGGTGTGTTAATAACAATTTGTATTTGAACAATTCTAAATGCCGCATTTTGACCTTCACCCGGAAAGCCAAATTTTTAACTTACCCATACAAAATAGATGATTCTGTATTGGAAAGGTGTGAAACTTTCAAGGATTTGGGCGTCTATTTCGATTGTCAGCTCACTTTTAACTACCACATCAGTGAAATTATAAGTAATGCGTATCGCAAATATGGCTTTATTATCAGAAATT